CCGGGTCGTACAGAGTAGCAGAAGAGGAGATCTGCGGTTGGGATGGTTGGTGAGAAGAAGATGGTGATGAGGAAGAGGGGCATGTATAAAGGGTGGAGGTGGGGGCTGAAGCAGCGAGCAACTGAGCTCTCCTAGAGCGCGCCTGAGCCATGATTCTTTCCATGGGCTTCCAGAGCATCCCACGCTTCGAATCAGCAACGAGCCGACCCAATCGGTTGAAGGTCTGCTCGACTGTAGGCCAGAATCTCTCCATGACCGCCCTGTCTTCGCAAACACAGAGCTCTGCGACGGCTACTGCCAGGCCGTGCCACGGCGGGAAAGCGAACTCTACCCAGAGCCACGGTACGGTGCGAGGATCGTCCCGAAGAGAATGGTAATTCTGGAGAACGTTGACGGCGAACTCGATGAGACGGTCGCCCTGGACGTGCGGTGGCGTGAAGCGCGGCGTGCGCTTGAGGGGCCGGATGACAATGAGTTGCAAGCAAGCATAGATCCCCTCCGCGACTAAGCGGGTGAACCAACTGAAAGGATTCTTGTCTAGTTGGGCATGATGAAGTAACTTGGAAGCGGTGTGTTGGAATTCGACGACGAGCTGTTGGCGGAGGGCGAGGGTGCTCACTGATGACTCGGTGAAATCAGAGAAATTTAGAAGTCTGGTGATTATATGGGCCTTGCCGACAATCATAGTGAAAGTCATGTCGTTAAAGCCGGGAGAATCAACGGGGCTTTCTTGCATGTCGAAGGAGATGTCTTCGTCATTGACGTGACGGGGAGGGTGGGATTGCAGCCAATGCGCCTGCATCATGGGCTCAGTATCACGGTCCATCGAGGCTAGAATGTCAAGGAAGCCGATCGCTTGCCAGAGTCGCTGGCGAAGTTCGCGTTCGAAAGGTCGGACTGTGAACGGTGGGTCAGGCAGATGAAGCGACTGGGCTTGTGCAATGCGCAAGGCCATGGCAAGCAGTGTCCACATTCGACGGCTTTGATCTTGCGATCGGAGGGACACCTTTCAACAGGTCAGATTACACTCTAGATAGCATCTGATAAATAGCGCGTTCAAGGGCCCGAGACGTACCAGGAAAAGAACAAATGCTTGCAAAACCGTCAGATCATTCGTAGTAAGATAATCTGCACGCCCTAGAGCTAGTTCCACATCCCTTTGGTATCCCGCTACCAAGGATGCTCTGGGTACACCGAATGCGCGAGTGCATTCATCTTCTGACAGGCTGCACGAGGCTGCATAGTACACAGCCGATGCAAGAGCGGTTGGAGCTAAATGTTCAGGTTCATAATCTAGATAAGGTTTCCCTTCCAAGAGGAACGCACAGAGGGAAGGTCTATGCAGTATCTTGACGACAGGGTCCACTCTTTCGAGAAAGACCCGGCAGAGCTGTTGCTGGGCATACTTTGAAGGGCTCAGCTGTCCTCCAGAGGTTGAAACATGCTGCCGACTTGCCGTTGCCAGCAGACGTCGATACATTTTCAGCTGGTTACCTGCAGCCTTGCGGCTTCCTTCTCTCGTACTGCGCTCATCATTGGGATGCAGTTCGGGCACCTGTATCCGGTAGTGCGTCAATTGGACTGACAACCAGCTAGTCACGTCTGGGAACCAAGATTTCATGAGAGACTCACCTCATTCAAGAGATTAGCCCAGAATGAAGATCCCAGGTAGCTATCTGGTGTGTGCTCCCTACCGTCCGAGTCTTCCGAGACGTCATCATCATCATCATCATCATCATCATCATCATCATCATCATCGCTGCGCGGGTCCACGCTCGGCCCAGGCCGATCATTGGGGGGCGGATCATCTCCAGTAGTGGGCGCATCAGGAACAGGAGGAGTAGCTCGGGGGGAGAAGCTATAGCCACTCCGAACTAGGCCTCGGATGATGTCCTCCAGTTTAGCGACGCGGTTCTTTAGGTTCGCATCCGGGTCGTAGTTGGACCGCTCGGAAGCTAGTCTTCCCGATCTTCCACGGGGCAGACGCGCGCGCTCGACGGGGACGCACCTTGTCCCTAACCGTTGACAGTTGGTACAAGGGTCGAGCTTGTCGCATTTGACTTTTCGTTGACGACAGGCTTCACAACTTAGCCGGACTTTAGGCTTCTGGGGATGTGGCTGGGATGGCGCTCGTCTGGAGGCGAGCTCGGCTTGCCGAGCTTCTTCATGATTCATGGTTGGTATGCAGAGGTCTTTCTTCCTCCTCTATTCCTAGAAGTGGCTGGTGCTCATGAGCCAGACTTTGGTTCAGCCAGGAGTCCGAGTGACGAAACTTGCTTTATGAATCGCTTAATTGAGGTCGTGCCATATACAGCCCCCTCCATTGTGGACTTGGTTAAGAAGAAGTCATGAACTGGAATGACAAAACGGGTCTGATTCCGGGGAAGGCGACGGAAGCTGTCGATGCCTTAGGACAAAACATCCCGCCCGATTAGCTCTAGTCTAGGCACTGTACTGTACGTAACTAGTTAGTGCAAAGCATGAGACACTACCAAGTATAAGAATTCTACAAGGTCCAGCACAAGGCCACATTTCAGATTGATATGAAAATAACTCGTCGAAAAGTATCTCTTTGTCATTCGGGCCACATCATCGAACCTGTTTGTCACGGCATACTCAATAATGATAACACAAGCCGTTTCGTAGCATCACATGCTCCCACCCATCAGTTATCGCTCCGGTGCAGAAAAGAGAAATTGCTAGGGATTCGCTTGCATCTTGTGCCAGCATTAAACTCATTGTTCCCTGCCTATATCATGATGCTTTCTTCGCTCTGCCCATAATGAAACAATATGTCACTGGTAAACCATGAAGAATAAACGACCTATGCATACAAATACCGCAAACGCCACGCTGCATAAAAGATGTAATAGGCGGGTTAATACAGAAGGAAAGGAGAATGGTATAAAGCGGAGTTACCGAGTTACTGAGAAACAAACTTTTTCCTGGGAGACTTGACGTTCAGCACTTGTCGCATGCGCCGAAGTTTGGCCCACCATTCGCGATCGCGAGCCTTTTTGGCCTCTGGGTTGCTGTCGTCAACTACCAGCCCGTCCGTCGAAGGAGCCTCAGATGGCGCACGACTTGAAACAGAAACAGTCGATCGAACTTGGCGGCGATGCCGTACCTGGAGCGCCTGGCTCAAGAGCTGCCACCCGCATCGAAGGTTCTCCGGCTTCTCGGACGCACGTCCGGTCCCGCTCTGTGCGGTTCCGTTAACCCATGGGCAATATTCCATGTGTTCGATGATCACATCAAGCGAATCGTAAAGCGCAGCAGTCCCGTTAGCCTTCGGTTTGTACATCCACAGACCCAACCGTCGGAAACACACACTGCAGCCCGCCAGACCAACTGTCCCATCTGGGACACTATCCCAGCCGAACAAGGCAAGCGCAAAGGCGGTTTTGTTGATTGATAACTCGTTGGAGGGTGTTGTATGGTCCGAGTCCTGGCCATTCTCAATCTCTTGAGGGGTCTCTGATCCGAAGTCTTCGCGGGGCTTTTCGTTGCTTCCGAATTCCGTTGGAAGTGTGCCGATGATCGCGTCTATATCAAGCGACTCTGGAGTCTGGATAGTGGTGTACTCCGGTAATTGATCCGCCATCTTGACCAGGTTGGAATAGCGCGTGCGCAGTCCGGAGATTGCCGTATCTGGGTTGGACAATGGCAGCCGATGGATCGTGGCTAGAGCAATTGGGTCAGGTTGAATACAGATCAGATACAGGCGAGGAGAAAGTAATGCACAATCATACCATCGCACCCTCTATTCCTCCAGGGACAATTATCACCATGCCCTGTGACGATCTGTCCCACATACTCCTCCACCAGCCTTGTACCTGCAAATCACGCCCAATTAGCCCCTGTAAGCAAGAAAAGAGATATAGGTAGAAGTGAGATGCCGACTCACGGACTTGCTTCCTTTCCTGCACCTTCTCCGCATCGAAACCGTCCAGCTCGTCCAGCTCGTCCGGCAGTTTGACAACGACCGAGCCACCGCACCCGCCCACGCACACCACGCGCGCTACATCGTTACAGATCCAGCCGCGCTTGGCCCATTCCACCTCATTAATCGCCGCCGGTTTGGGTGCCCACCGATCCACGCGACGGAAGGTTTCCAATCGCTCCAGGAAGCGCTCACGGTCCCATGGGACAAAGCTGGGGCGCGACGGTGTTGTGGAATTGTTTGAGGCTCGTGAATTCGGGCGCGGTGTGTTTAGAAGAGAGCTACGAGCGAATGGAAGCTCGCTGAAGTCCAAGCGAGCCTTTTTGCTCGAATGCTCGAGGGAGGTACGTTCTCGTGCGGGCGTGGGGGTTCCGGGGATGGCTGACTTGGTGAGTGCGGGTGTCGAGGAGGGCTTCGTCAGGGATTCAAGAACACGGTGGAACTTGCGCTTTTTAGTTTCCACCGCGTAAGACATTTTTCCCGAGCTCGGGGAAGGTGTTAGATTCAGTGTGTGGGATAAATATATAGGTTTTGGGAGAGTCGAGGAATCCTCATGAGAGCTTGGAGAGCATCGGAGCTGGTGGCGCTAGTCCCTAATTGGTAGTGGCTGAGACCCGCTGGATTGTTGCCTCGGGCACCTAAGAATAACCGTCCGTTCTTACAGTAGTTCGTAGAGCAGGGCATGGTAGGAATTTGCTGAAAGTCCAAGAGTCTCAGGTCTTTTGTGACTATGTGCACTTCTATCTATATGATTAATAGGGTTTAGCTGAAGTGACATTCTCGAATTATCTCATCAATTTGATTGGTGTCAAATAGGTTGGATTTAGGCACTCTACTCTTTCCCAAGATATCGCCCAATCCCTCCGAAGAAAAGAGAAATGAACAAGCTTTCCATGAAATAAGCCTTGTATCAATGAAAACTCTAGCTTTAATTTGCATCTTCTACCTCTCTGTCCACCAGCCAGCCCAAGACTCTTTACTGTCGTGTGCGAGCCTGTTTGGTGTTTAGCAACAATGACAGGGCAGTAAGTTGAACTTAGACCCGAGTGATTTATCTTTATCTTCCTGAGAGCCAATAACAGAACAGGCCCAGCGAGAGTAAAACCAGGAACCAGATGAGTTTGCGAATGTGGGCCATTCTTCGGGCTTGCTTTCCCCACGTCTGCCAACCCAGTGCTGCTCGGTTAGGGCATGACAGAAAAGTGATCGTTTCCGCGTCTGCCATGACCTCTGACGCCAAATCGGCTGGCAAGTTCTTTGAGTAAGGTATCAGGTATCGACCACTAAGAGTCCTATAGAGACCATCCCGAGCCTGGGTGCGACAGACTCCTGCCGATGTCTTGCACATCATCTTCATCCGGCTATACCGAGTCTCTTTATATTTCAGAAGAAGATCCTGGATATCCGCATCAGACGGGTTTTGCACACCACGCGCATTGATAAGATCGTGCAGCAGTGAAGACAAGGTCGCAGCATCCTCAATTGCACAGTTGGCCCCTTGACCAAAGTTGGGTGTCATCTACAGATCATTTGTTATTTCAGGTTGAGCCCAAAAGAGAACGAAGTGAGGAAAGAGTAGTTGTGAACATACCTTGTGAACACTGTCGCCCATGAGAACCATATGCTCAAAAAACCAGGTCTTGAACAAGCCTTCCTCTAGTGCAGTCATGGAGTACACTTCTTTATTCTTCCATAGATCCCCCACGCAGACGTCATTGAAGAACCGCACATGTTTCAACTTGTCGATAAGCTTGGCAGCGTCTTTGTCTGAGAATCGTGGAACGTCGGGATAGATATACTTCTGCTGAAGCTTCGTGATGATGAACCAGAACACCCGACCCTTCTTGCCATGTATGGTGAGAATGGATAGATGATCAAAAAGTCCATTGATCTGTTCATGAACCTCGAGATTCGGGATACGTGACGAGATTCCAAAGACGCAGGAATATTGGACCGTCATAGCTGTAATTTGCATTTGTCAGCGCTGTCACCCACACAGTCGTAGATTCAACATTGACTAGAGACTGAGACACAGACAAGTTCGTTCACGATTCGAAATCAGCCCTGGCTTAAGCTCATCTGCAAGCCTCCAGATCTCTGATCGGATTCGACTGTGGACGCCATCGGCACCAACGACAAGATTTCCCTCATATATCGAGCCGTCAGCCGCTGTCACGCGGAGGCCATGATCGACCTTTCGTACTTGAACGACTTTCTTGTTGGTAATGATGTTTTGTTTCGCATGGTATTTTTCGTACAATATCCGGAGGAACTTTTGACGATCTAGGAAGGCAATGGGGTATCCGAATCTACAAGAGTTAGCAGGTGATCCGACGCAGTGTTGAGAGTGGATCTTATTCCAAGGTCAGAGGGAAATACCTTTCATGTAGGATTTTGGGATAGACATTGGCGAAGTTGAACCCGTCAGGATAGGTGATATGAGCTTTGTGCGTAGGCTCAATGAACTGCTCGATGGCATCGAAAAGATTTAACTGAGCAAGAATACGGCCTCCATTCGGCATGATACCCACAGAGGCACCCAGCTGCGGAGCAATGTCACTGCCCTTTTCAAGGACGATATGCTCGATATTGGCATGTTGTAGACAATGTGCGAGCGTGAGACCGGCGACAGAGCCACCAACGATGATGACCTTGAAGGGGGGATGTGTCGCAGGCATAGTTGATTGGCAAAGAGGTATGATGAAATGCTAGAGGTAAAAGGTTAAGTGAATGAAGGTCGGGAAGAGAAGGTTCTCAGAATTGTTGTGAATGTTATTAGGACCAAGGGGAAACACAGCCGGGAGATTTTGCCATGGGAACCCTTCCTGGTTGATTACCAGTCACAAAATGGCTTGCATTTAGAAGATCTGATTTCCCCGAGAGATTTTGCCCGGTATGCTGTTTGTGTTGACTGGGGTGTGTCTCTGTGATACTTGATTTGTATCCTCCTGTACACCACCTCAAATAAATGCCCTCCAATCTACCGCCGCAACAGATCTCATGGTTTAAAGGAAGAGAACATCACTGACGTTGAATGTGCAATTAACCCTGAATCAACAATTGTTGGATAACTTCAGCATCTATCTCCGCAGTGGTTGTTTCTTTTTCTCTCGGAAAAACACCCTGTCTAGTTCAGCCCAGACCCAAGCCTCCTGCAGTGCAGTACAGCACTGATCCTTGTATGACCCTCTCCACGACCAAGAAACAACTCAAGGACATAGACTTTCTCCGCGGTAATACAAGGAAGGGAAAAAAATTACACGCCTCGTATGCAACAACCGACAGCAATGTGAGATCCAATACAGGCTTGCCTGTCATCGCAGACCATAATATCTCTCTATCCGAGGAATATTTGGTCTCGTGTTCAGCTCTCGCGATCCAAACTCAGATGAAGTCACAGAATAAAGCGCTCAAATTACTTACGCTTATGTTCGTCGTCCAATTGCGATGCCTCCTCCTGCCGTTTGATCAGGAAAAAGCAAAAGCCATAGAGCAGCTCGGAGAGAAAGAAGACGGCGACAGCCCAGAGAATAAGCGGACAATTCAGCCAGGCAAAGGCGCCTGGCCAATAAGCCCAGCGAATATAAGCAAAGCCGATGGTGGAGATAGATCCCAGGAATCGCGAGAGCCTGACTTAGCTGTTAGCACACCGGGTCTCCTGTCGGGATAAACAAATTATAGACTCGAAACTATCTGTCGACGCACCATTTTGTGTACGAAGCGCCACGCGTGCTCGCCCGAGTCAACAAGAGAAACACATCGCCAACACTGATGAACATCTGACAGATGACGGCTCCCCACGAGTAAGCCAGACCAGGGCCCAGCTGAGCGGCCAGGGCCAGGTGTCCGCTCAGCCAAAAGAGGGCCATGCCTGCAAACGCCAGGGCCAAATTGTTCATGACCAGTGGGGATTGGCGCCATTCATTGGAGCCGTTCCTGATGGCGGCATATATGACTGTGATGTCGAGAAGCAAACCCAGAAAGAAGGCCACGCGCTCGACCATCCCCGTGGCTGGGTATACTAGGCAATATACAATTTCCCATGCAAAGTTGATCGTAATCCCTGCGATGGTCATGCTGTAGGTCTGGTCTCGGAAGGACGTGTAGGCCACGTTCAGATAGTACGCAAGCCAACCGAGACCCATCCCCGCGATGAATAGGCTGTCAAGCCATTTGAGAGCTTCGTACTCTGCAGGCACTTCCGAATGTTTGAATCCGTCCATTTGAAAAGCTCTGCCATGAAAAAGAAGGAAAGGAGGTAGAAAAAGCAATGGGTCTAGTCCTGGTCCAATACGAAATGCCCTCAATGACACCATTACTTTGGCACTGCTTATATACGTCTGCTTTGAGATAGCAAGTACCGGAGGGTGTGAAAGCGGCACACAGAAACAGAGGACCCGCTGTGCTACTACCCTTCTACGACCTCAGTCTTCCCACGCAAGTACTCTGAGTTCTCCCGCCCGGAGTAGGACTGGGCTTCAAATCTGTCAACCGTGTGACCCAGGATCGTATATTTTTTTCTGCAGGACTCTGCAAGACAGCCAGGGAAGCTTCAGGTCTGGCAAATTGTTCGCCATGTTGTGCATTAAGCGCATGTACCTATGCCTAACTGACTGATTGACTGACATCCAGCTGATGGGTTGGATCCCAGGTCAGGGAAGTGGCATCAGCGGCAAGCCTGAGGAAACGAGATAGTGTAACTTGTAACTTGTCCCAAGCTCTCGACCACCTTTCATCATATACAGCAGAAAAGGGAAAGGGGCCCGAGGGTCATAAGCAATCCATCTGCAGCTGGTGGGGCATCTCTAAAAGCCATGCCATGACATATATAGATCTGAAGAGGAACCCTTCCTCATTCAAAATCCTAAATTCACCTGCACTGTAACCTGAAGTATTCTTGCCTGGTTGCTTCTTAACTGACAAAGCCCTGACAACTGCGGAAAGGGGCCCCGAAAAGAAGGAAAAACGAACCCAGAACAGCGAATCATGACCGCAATTGCAGATGTTGCTTCCATGTCCCTTCCATGGATGGCGACTATTGGAATTTTCCCCCTTGTTGTCTATGTGCTTCTGGACAGAATGCCTCCTCTGTGGCCGACCTCCAAGAAGGCATATTTGATCGGCCAGAAGAGGCCCGATACAGTGACCTCCTTTGAATGTCCTTATGCTTACATCCGCCAGATCTATGGCAAGTATCACTGGGCACCATTTGTACACAAGCTCTCTCCCACACTCAAGACCGACGACCCAGCCAAGTACAAGATGGTCAACGAGATCATGGATGCAATTCACTTGTGCTTGATGCTGGTGGATGACGTGTGTAGTTGCCTAGTTTCCTTTGTTGGCCTGTTCTTTCCGTCTGCAGCTCGGGCATGTTCACTGATAGCAGACATACGCACACGGTAGATCACCGACAACAGCGACTTTCGCAAAGGCAAACCGGCAGCGCACAAGATTTATGGTCCTTCGGAGACCGCCAACCGGGCCTACTACCGGGTGACGCAGATCCTGAACGAGACGGTGCAGCGGTTCCCGAAGCTGGCTCCCTTCTTGATGCAGAATCTGGAGGAGATTCTGGCCGGTCAGGACCTGTCGTTGGTGTGGAGGCGAGATGGCTTGAGTGTATTCCCGACATCGCACACCGAGCGTGTAGCGGCATATCAGAAAATGGCTTCCCTGAAGACAGGGGCCCTGTTTCGGATGCTGGCTCAGCTGGTGAAGGAAGACACGTCGATGGATGAGACGATGACCACTTTAGCGTATATCTCACCCTTGCCTTTTCCTTCTCTTCTCTGAATTGAAGTGGCCTTCCGAGCGCTAACTATATATAACCCGCTACACAGATGGTGCTCTCAACTTCAGAACGACTGCAAGAACGTCTACTCCTCCGAGTACGCCAAGGCGAAAGGTGCGCTGGCAGAGGACCTGCGCAACCACGAGTACTCGTATCCCATCATCCTGGCTCTTGAAGCCCCCGATGGCCACTGGGTGGCCAGAGCGTTGGAGACAAGCTCCCCCCGAAATATCAGGAAAGCTCTGGCGGTGATTCAGAGCGAGGGGGTGCGGAATGCATGTTTTACAGAACTAAAGCTGGCCAGTGCTTCTGTGCAAGACTGGCTATCCATCTGGGGACGAAACGAGAAGATGAACTTGAAAAGTCAGTAGGGGGTTGTATAGAGTGGGTGATACCTGGTATGGCGTGGTCTACTTCCAGATAGGGGGATGCCAGGTGGGATGAGTGGTTCTCGCGATACATACAGCGGCGTTGTGGTTTGAACCCAGTATTACATGTCTGTCTCTCCCTGTTCTAACTATTTTCCAACTCTCTGTATTTCTCTACCACACTGTGTCATGGTGGTAATCCGGTAGGTTGGCTCTCTGAGTTTAGTCATAAATTTCCGAGGGTTCACGGCCCTTGCAAATTGGGGGATGACAACAAGGCTCTTCGGCTCAAGTCACGCCACCATAATTCTCCGATCAATTCTATACATTAGCTTTGACTAGGAATAGCTTTAACTAAGGATTGAGTTTAGCTAGGAAGTATAAGCTGCCTTGTCCTCTACGATGTTGGATCCCGTAAGCGGATAGATGCAGTCAAGCAAATAATCTCCAGATGCTCTATGGACAACCTATATTGTCATGATAATAGTTGACCAGGTCATGAACTTCCTTCATTGATCGATTGTTCGTCAGTTGGACTTGCAGTCATAATCACAACTGAAGGTCACGCTTCTGTCTCAAATTCTTTCTTTTGTTCCTTCTTTCCTGTTCTTGCTTTTTTCCATGACCGAGACCTACATCTTCCCATTCATCCAACAGTATCTTTTCTTTCGATTATGTTAGCGGTCACCGTAGGCTCTCTGCTCGGAGCAATTACACGGCCATGGATCCTTGTCAGCCTCTCACAGAGACCTCCTTTTCTCACTCCACTTATTGGGGACCCACTATCGCAGCTTTCCTCTGTCTAACGTCGAAAGCCGGGTGTTGTGCGACTATTCTCGCAGTTGATGACTCTAGAAACATGAGTAGTTCTGCATTCAAAACACGCGATATTCCCAGGGTCACCGCGGCCGATCAGTCAGCCTTAGGTATCCGTATGCCTTAAATAACTCTTTGCTCGTATTCCTCGGCGATAGCATGGTAGTCCTCTTAGGCTTCAGGTCCTTCTTCCGGGCTCCTGGACTCAAGGATTCACTATCACTGCTACACGAGGAGACAATGAACTCTGACATGTTACTCGGAAGAGAACATTCAACGAGTAGAAATCACTCTCGATCGATGAAGGAGAGAGTCAACATCTGACATGCAACGATGGGCGATTTTCAATGGATGGACGATGATCTCGCTTCAGTATGACATTTGCTCCCTCCCCCAACTCGTAGTCATTGTCACAATTCCTCGGAGCCAGGATACCCTTAACTATCCAGAAAACGCAGTTGAGGTCAGCACTTCTCGGAGGCCTGGAAGGAAGAACCACTCCCCTCTCAGAAATGAATGGATATCATTGATAGCAGCTGAATGAAGAAGCAACAAACCAACCGTAATATATTGTAGTTTGAGTGTGAAGCATGACCTTCTTCTTCTTCTTTCCTCCTCCGCCTACTCCTCCTTCCCTGGCTCTAAATCTAAAAGTCTGCTTTCCTTCCAGTTTGCCTGCATGCATGCACATGGAGCCGAT